TCAGCCACTTGGTCGTGTGGTCCAGGAGGCCTGGGGCGGGGCGGCAGCCTCAGCAGGAGGTCGCTCCACATTCCCTGGCCAGGAGCTAATGCTGATGGGGTGCCTGTCTGTCTTGGATGACTGCTCCCCGCACCCCCCCCCACACACACACACCAAGGAAGAAACTTCTCCTAGAACAGTGATGGCGAACCTATGACACGCGTGTCAGAGGTGACACGCAAACTCATTTTTTTGGTTGATTTTTCTTTCTTAAATGGCATTTAAATATATAAAATAAATATCAAAAATATAAGTCTTTGTTTTCTGGCTGCCTGCTGAGGCGCTCCTGGAACTGCGCCCGCTCGTGCAGGATGGAGTGCTCCCGCAGGTGGGGCTGGCGGCTCTGCAGCGTGTAGTTCCTCATGTCCATCTTCATCAGGCCCAGAACCTGGAAGATCCCCCTGAAAGACAGAACAGGTTGTTCATGCTCCAAGAGGGTCTCCGGGAATCAGGGGGCTCTAAACTGACAGCCCTGCCCCCTCATTTACAAAGATGACACGGAGCCAGGACCCAGGCCCAGAGCGAGCGGGTGGCAGCATGGGAAACAGGTGTCTGGACCTCGAAGCCTCTGAGCCAGACCTCCTCCCACAAGCCACTCTGCTCTTAAAAAGGGCGTCAGTGGAAGACCACACCAGACACTAACCGTTCTCTCTGGGAAGTGGGATTATAGGTGATGCTATTTCTGGGCCAAGTACTTTATTTTATTTTATTGATTTGAGAGAGAGGGAGAGGAAGGAATGGGGAGAAAGACAGAGAGAGAGAGAGAGAGAGAGAGAGAGAGAGAGAGAGGGAGAGGGAGACTTGTTCCACTTATTTATGCATCACTGGTTGATTCTTGTATGTGCCCTGACCGGGGATCAAACCCACAACCTTAAGAGTATTGGGACGACAATCTAACCAACTGAGCTACCTGACCAGAGTTGTGGGTCTACTATTTTTTTTCAATTTTCTGGAGCTATGAAATGGGGATAACCCCTCACCTCTGCACCTCATACTATGTGAACTGCAACAAGAAAACCTGGGAAAGCAACGTTTGAACTTCTTGGAAGAAAAGACTGCATACATGAATGTCGCATGGTAGGGTGTTATATGGGGCCCAGCACACCTGAGGATGCCCAGAGGGCCCTGCAAGGCCATCTTTGGAAAAGGAAAGCTCATCGGCCAGAGAGGAGGACTCAGGATGGGGTTCGCAGGGAAGAGCAGCTGGGACGGGGCGGCCACTGGGGGTGTGGCCCAGGGGCGGCAGGGTCCAGGGACAGTAGCCAGGCTTCACCTCAGGAGCAGAGCGGAGTCTGTGATGCCGTCCAGCTTCTGCACGGCCTCATCCCGAACCGGCGCGCACAGCAGCGTCATCATGCTGAGGACGCACTTGGAGAGACGGGGGATGTTCAGGTCCCCGCGCTCCGCTTCCCGCTGCAGCAGGTCGGCGGCCAGAGCGTCCTCCACCTCACTTCTCAGGCGGCTCTGGCGTGGCAACAGCAGCGACAGCAAGATCTGCCCAGGAAGAAAACCCAGGGGGCCCCACTTTCCTCACGGAAACCCCATTAGCCACACACATCCCAGCCGGGGTCTGCTGTTGAGAGAGAGGGGGAGAGATTCTCTCTCTCTCAAGGAAATCAAACCCAAAACCTGGGTATGTGCCCTGACTGGGGATCGAACCTGCCATCTTTCGGCCTACAGGATGGAACGGCACTCCAACGAACTGAGCCACACCAGCTGGGGCCCAGCCTGTGTCTTTTAAGGATCAACAAGTCGGGTCCCTAAATTTCCTAATATTTATCTTTGTTTAAGGACCAATAATAGGCCACGGCTTCAGGGGACCAATGACAGCAGTAAGGTATCATTCTCTAGGCAGAATGAGATAGAGAAACAAACGAAGGCGCGCAATAAAAAGGAACTCAGGGTGCAACACATATAAAATACACACCACATGGCGACGGGGTCTCTTCATTTTAAAAAGCAGGCATGCTTGAGATTTACTTCAAAGAGCAAGGAGGAACGAGGCAAAGGAACTGTCAGGTGTCACCGGAAATAGTCTATTAACTGAAAATGTAAGGTCCCTCTGAGCAGTCTCTGCCTCATCTCCGTGCCTCTGCAGCAGACAACACAGCGGGGTCGAGGGATGGGGTTCGAGGAACGTCCGTGTAATTGAATGGGACACCCTGTTGTCATAACCAGATCCCATGCGCTCAGCTTCGCTGTAAGCCGTGGAAATGGAAGCTGCTCTGTACCCTGTACTTCATGGTGAACTATGCCAGTTTCACTCTGGAGCCCTCAGCGCCTCCCATGTGACAGCGAGAGGAAGAGGTCCCCCTGGTCCGGGCGCTCCCCTGCTTCTCTTTGTTCAAATTACTGTCTTGTTTCTTCATCCTGATTAGACGCTGACTGATACAAAACTGGCGAAAGAGAAGTTCTCACTGAAATGGCTGATGCCCACGGCTCTCGTGAGCAGCAAGTAGCAAGTACTCCACGTTTTAGATGCCCCAGAACGGGGGTGGGAAACGTCCGGCCCATGGGCTGTAGAAGGCCGGAGAAATCATTTGGCCTGGCCCTGCCTAGGCATTAGGAGTGAGTTAATTAAGTGTTTGACCAAAGACAGCAGGCTAATTTTTAAGTTGATCATTTTGCATGGCCTTTGAGTGATGTTATAAACATCCAAATGGCCCTGAGCAGGAAAAAGGCTCCCCACCCCGCCTTAGGCAGGCAGACTGGAGGATGGCTAGTAGTCACCCACCTCATGCAGCTGCCGTGGGCCTGGTGAGGCTGGCAGAGCTCCAGAGGTGAGCACCTGGCCAGCCACGTCCCCCCAGGTGAACGGCCAGCGGTGTGCCTCCCGGCACCCACCGTGAAAAAGAGGCCAGCCCTTGCAGGCCTTTGCATCGAGGCCGCGCACAGCGCCTCAGGGTTTTGTGGAGGTAGAGGGACTCTGGCGCCAATCTGGTACGCCACGTGACTCATCATAAGTTCCTAGCTGGCACCTAGCTTCTTCAGTAAAAGGTTCATCTTCACCTCAAGCAAGCCCTGTCCATGGTTCTTCCCCATTGTTCGTCCCAGGTGTATAAAAGACACTGCAAACGGTCCTTCTTCGGAGCAATTGAGATCTTGCTTCCTGGCCTGTTGTCAGTTTGGCTCAAATAAAACTCAAACTCTTAAAATTAAAAAAAACCCTCTACAGTTCTGATTCGACACCCCTTTTGAGTCGCTCACAGGTTACCAAGTTCAAGTGCGAACCAGAGCCCGAGGCGGCTCCGCAGCAAGTCCAGGCAGCCGTCCCAGCCACACGACCACTTGGCCTTACCAGCCAGCGGGGCCGTGATACGTGAGTGTCCGTGGCAGTGAGGGTGCCGTCCAGCGCCTCTGGCCAGCAGGGGCCGCGCAGCACAGGGGTGTGGAGCACAGCTCTGCAGAACTACCTGCCTTTGGAGAAATGGTTCCTGGCTGGCTCATGGGCCTCGTCAGAAAGTAAGCCCTCACCATCGGACACCGGGCGGCCCTGGAGGCCGTGCTCCTCTCATGAGGAGCTCGGTGTTGTCCGACCTGCCCAGCGGTGAGATTGGCTGCCTGGGGGTTCAGTGTGTGGAGGCTGCATATGGAAGCTGAGCAGCCAAAGGAGTGCAATGTGACATTCATCACTTGATTGTCTCTCTGCCCTAAATCCACCCTTGTTTTCTCGGCTCTGAAAAAAATGAAGTCCTTTAAATATTTTTTCTTTACTAGATGGTAAACTTTAAGCATCATCTGTAGAGGGCACTATTACTTAGTTTCTATGCAGCATAACAAATTACCATACACTCGGAGGCTTAATTAAGCATATATAGCCTGGTCGGTATGACTCAGTGGTTGACCCGTAAACCAGGATGTCATAGTTAGATTCCTGGTCAGGACACATGCCCGGGTTGTGGGCTCTATCACCAGTAGGGGGCAGGCAGGAGGCAGCTGATCAGTGATTCTTTCATCACTGATGTTTCTAAACTCTCTCCCGCTTCCTTTCTCTCTAAAATTAATAAAAACATGTTTTTTTTAAAAAAAAGAAAAAGCAAGCATGTACATTTGTTGTCTCACAGCATCTGTGGGTCAGGGGCCCAGGCACAGTTTATTCACTGGGTCCTCTGTTCAGGGTCTCGCCAGGCTGTAATAGGGTGTCAGCTGGGCTCATTCAAATCGTGGCTGAATTCACTTCCTTACAGCTGTAACCCGAAGGGCCCAGCTTCTCACTGGCTGCTGGCCGGAGGCTGGTCCTGAGGCACCTGCAGCTCCCTGCCAGGTGGCCTCTCCACAGGCCCGTTTGTTCTTCCAGGCCGGCAGGAGGCCCTCGGTCTGCTGAGAGTCTTCGCAGTGAGGTGTGACATCCCCCACCGTTGCCATATTCCACTGGTTAGAGACAAGTTACAGATCTCGTCCCCATCAAGGAGACAGGACTACTTAAGGATGTGGATCTTGGGGTGGGTGGGGGCAGGTCGCTTTAGGGTGTGCCCATCACATACTAGAAAGACAAGGCAAAAGCCGAGAGCTTTTCTCTCCGAGTAGGCGGCTCACTTGGCAGCTCCTGCAGGAGGCATGGCTGTGCAGCGCCCGGCTCCCACGGCCTGAGTGGCGTCTCCCAGGTGGGCTCCTGCCATGCACGGTGCTCAGCAGCACACGCAGGCCAGCAACTTCCCCGGCACAGCTGGACCCTTGGGTGTCTATGTCAGCCGCGGGTGTGGTGGGCTCGCCTTGGATCTGATTTTCCGGTGTTCCTGAGAGTTCCCCTTGCTTCTGACTAGCCCAAACCCTCATTTCTCCAATGCCCTGTGGTAATTTTTATATTAAAACTCCTTGTTGAAGTGACTGTGCACTTTCTGTCTACAGGTTAGATTCTGACTGATTCATGGGCCATGCCAGTTGGAATTTGCTAGCCACTGACATTCGAATGAGCTGGGATGCCTGGGAACTTTACACCTACCAGCGGAAGGCTGGTGACTCACCTCTTTAATTTCTTTCAGAAGTTCAAGAGCACAGCTGAAGTCTGGGGGCGTAGCTGACAGCTGCTCTTTAAGGTGATCCCAAAAGGCATTGTGCATTGCGTCCTTGGCCTGGCCTTCCAGACTGTAAAGGGGTTAAATACAAATTACTTTCTCTGTCCAAAAACTGTCATAAGGTCCTGTGTCCTAAGCCCCACACAGACAGTGTTGGCTGCGATAAAAGACCATTATGCTGACAGGGGAAGGCCCAGAACTGCGTGTGGCTTGCAGCAGAGTTGAAGAGCTGGGGTCAGACGTGGATGTCAAGGGCCCGGTGATCCAGAGCCGCCCTCCCTCTGGGGCAGGAAGAGCCTGAGCAGAGGCCAGGTGGAGCTCGGGCCCTGATTTTGCATCCGGCCTGGATGACACGGGGCTTGGTTTCATTTGTGTGCATATACAGCAATGCACTAAAGCATCTGTCCTTGCCCTCTAGTCCTCAGGTCCAGGAAAAGATTTTCCCTCTTTGACTGCATGTTGCACTGAAATACCCACAGAGACTTCCAAATCGGCATCTAAATGGAATTCACTATCTTCCTCCTCCAGACTGGCTCCTCCTCTACCCCAGGCTCAGTGCCACTACCAGGCAGCCAGTCATGGCAGCCAGGAAGACTGGTCCTTTTACCCTTAAAAAAACAGAAGCAAAGGCAATTCCATTTAGAAAGCACAGTCTTTTCAACAAACAGTGCTGGAACAACTGGACACCCACAGGCAAAAATATGACTCAGACACAGACCTTCTACCTTCCACAAATGGCTTACAGACTAACATAAAACTATAAAACTTCTAGACGACAACTAGGAGAAAATCTAGGTCACCTTGGCTTTTCTATGACTTTCAGATACAACACCAAAAGCAAGACCCAAAAAAGAAAAAAATTGGTAAGTTGCACTTCATTAAAATTAAGAACTTCTGCTCTCTGAGAGACACTGTTATGAGAATTAAAAGACAAGCCACAGACAGTCTTTGCTAAGCACACATCTGATAAAGGATTGTTTTCCAAAATATACAATGAACTCCTAAAAGCCTATGAAAAGATGGTTAGCAACATATGTCATTAGGGACCTGCAAATTAAAATACAGATGGGATACTGTGCACACCTATCAGAAAGTCTAAAATCCAGAACACTGGAGCGGCAGGAGCTCTCAGTCACTGCTGGTGGGGATGAAGACGGTGCCGCCACTCTGGAAGACAATGTGGCAGTTTCTACAAAACCGAGCACACCCTTGCCATACGATCCAGGCATCATGCTCCTTGGCATTTATTCAAGTGAGCTGAAAACTATGTCCACACAAAAGCCTGCAAATGGAGGTCGATAGAGCTTTATTCATAATCGCCAAAGCTTGGAAGCAACCACGATGCCATTCTATAGGTGAGTGGGTAAATGGAAGGTTATTCCGTGCTGAAGAGGAATGAGCTCTCAAGAACCCCAAAAACACAGAGGGGCCTTACATGCGCACTGCCGAGTGAGAGAAGCCAATCTGAGAAGGCCACCTACTGAATGAGTCCAAATACAGGACCTTCTGGAATCCTATGGAGACAGCATACAGATCGCTGGTTGCCGAGGATTTGGGGGGCAGCAGTGGGGCGGGGGGAGAGGGGAGGTGAGGAAGGATGAAGAGGTGGAGCTCAGTGGAATTTTAGGGCAGTGAAATTACTATGTATGATACAGTAATAGTGGATACATGTCATTATACATTTTCAAAACCCATAGTATATACATCTCAAAAAGTGAACCCCAACATAAACTATGGACTTGAGTTAATGTGTCGATACTGGATTGTCCATTGTAACAAATGCACCACACTAATTAAGATGTCAATAATAGAGGAGTAGGTGGGAACTCTCCGTAATTTCTGATCATTTTTCTGTAGAATTAAAACTGCTCTAAAAATATCCTATATAATCCTATATAATAAAGAGCTAATATGCTAATTAGACTGAACAGTAGAACGACTGTCCGGACAACCTTCCAGATGAAGTCGGGGCTGCGAGGGCCAAGGCAGTTGGGGCTATGAGGGCCGAGCCCCTTGCACGAATTTTGTGCATCGGGCCTCTAGTTAATTAAAAAAACAGAAATGACAGGAATCAATTTTCCTCTGAATGTTTACTTAAATGATGTCTTTGTGCTACAGAGTTAGACTAACAGAAAAAGAACTATTTGAAAATTCTGAGGCTGAACCTCATCATTTCCAAATAGGTACTGGTTGTCTTGAATTAAACATCTGCCCTTTAAAAAGCACAGCAGTAATGCATGCTCCTTGAAAAAGGAAGAAAGGCAACACAAAGGTGAACAGACAAGTCAAAGTTCCGCTCCCTCCTCACAAATCTCAGCCATCAGAGGTAACAACTGTCCTCTGTCCCCCGGGCCAGTGAGCGCTGGAGTTGTGCTGAGCTCTTTCCTCTTCCTCCTATTTATTCAATCCACCTCTGAGTCCATACATTTTGCTTCTTGAATGCCTCTGGAGTCCATCCCTGCCTACCATCATCTCTTACTAGGACCACCGTCATAGTCTATTCACGGATCCTCCTGCCTTCTGTCTTGTCTCTTTTTAATCTGTTCTCCACCAGTTCATTCTAAAACCAGTGATTTTCCTAAAATGCAATTCTGATCATGATGCCATGCTCATTTAAAGGCCTTTAAGGGCTTCCCATCACCAGCAGCATAAATGGCTTATACTGCATGACCCTCCTAATACTGCTCTGCCTCCCTTTCCAATTTACCTCCTCCTGTGTCTCAATGCCTTGTGTGCAACCATACCAAGCCCTTGTAAAGCACAGAGCACCTTCTACCACCACTCTGTGCCTCCAACATGTTGCTTCCTGTACCTGGAGCAGTCTTTCCCACCGACAGCACCTATTCATTTTCAGAGACTCAACTCGAGTCTTCGTAGGTGAAATCTCCCGCCAGGGCACACCTCTCTGATCCTCCAGGGCAGCTGGTCGTGCTCACTAAGCTCCATACATACAACTTATCCGTCATTTTCTGCTACCAGCTGTCTCCCCTACGAAAGTTCTTGGCAGCAAAGATGGTGCCTGGCTCACCTACAGCTCCAGCTCTAGTTGTATCTTGCCCCAGTGCTCAGCATTCTGCCCGCCACACAGTACGGACTCAACAATGTCTGATGAATGATGCCTAAACATGAGATTTCTTTAGGAACCCACAGCATCGTATGAGCCCACAGGAAAGCCAAATGCCAATAATGAGTAACCTCAAACTGTTTCCTTGGCCACGGCCCCCAGCAGACCTCTGCTCCCCTGTTCCATTTTCCTCCCCTCCTGCCACATCTAAGTGGTGAGAGAGGTGGTAGGTCTGGATTTGGGTGAAAACCTGTCCCAGAGGAGCTGGGCGTGGTTGGACACCTGCTGGCATCGGGCAGGGGGCAGTCAGAGCCTGAAGACCAGGGCAGCAGCTTGGGACAGAGAAGGGCACCTTAGCAACAGATTCCTGGAGTTGTGAATACAAAAGCATGTAAGGCAGCCGGCCAACCTCTACCATGATTTACCTGGTTGTTGTTGGGAATCAGAACTGTTTAAAAATGTAAAATCTGACGTGACTTTACCCACTGAACTGCCAGTGAGCAGCAGAGCCCTGCGCTTCCTCCTTACTGAGTGCTTCTTACTGCGATGTCAATAGGACTAGGAGGACTCAGAACAAAGCTGGCGGGGGAGGAGGCCTATTTATCAACAGGCTTATGAGCCTCATTCACAAATTAAGCTGATTATGAAGCCAGAAAAAAAACAGGTGAAAGTGCCACTATTAGAAAATTAATCTTTTTATCTGTGGCCTTTCATCTGTTCTCACGCAAAAGAGTAAATGATAGGAGCTAGTGTAGGCAGCTGATAAAATGACCCCAAAGATCTGTATTTCCTGGTATTCACACCGTGGTGTACT